TCGTGTCCCGAATGTCACCAACAGTTGGTCCGAAGTCCCAGATGTGTCGCCAAACCGAAGACCAGTGATCGGCCGCTCGTGCGCCTCATCGGCGGTAACCTCAGAGTGAACTCAAACCTAAGATTGGCGTCAATTGTGGACAAACTCGAGATCCGGTGTCCGTTGCAGTGGAACGGCTGCCACGATGTGATGCCGGTGCGCGAGTTGGCCCAACACGTGCGTCACAAGTGTCGACATAAAGCGTGTCCAAAGTGTGAGCTCCCGGTGCCGGTCGAGACAGATGGCAGTGGTGGTGACGACGACCCACAGGTGACCCATAACTGCGTGGATCAGCTGAAGGCTGCGCTCAAGCATTGCAAACAGCGCCAGAAGGCCAGCAAACGCGCGGATCAGTTGGAGACGAGTGTCGAAGACTGGAAGCAGAAGTATCGACGACTGGAACGGGAGGCCAATGAAGAGGTCGATAGACTGAAGACTATTGTCGTGCAGACGAAGGAAAGGGAGCGAAAGATTGTACAGAGTATCACAGTATTGGAGGCAAAACTGTCGACCTATCAGTGCGATAGTGACAGCGGAAAGGCATCCAATTCACTGGTATTACGCAAACGTAAGTCCGACGGAACGGCTGTCGGCACCGGAACTCAGATAACAATCGACAGTCAGATACCGTTACCGCCGCTCCAATGCCGACGCAATCAAAATGAACTACCGGTGCAGGGATTTGGCGATAAGGAAGCTATGGCTGCGGATAATGTCAAAGCTATGCCGGTGCTCTTCACCGTGAAATCCAATGGAACCGCTGGAGTGCCGGTTGTTGTTGTGGTCGATGGCAGAGATGTCCATACTTTAGGTTAGGTTTTAAAGTTTTGTCACATTTGTTGTAATGATTTTTGTATTACTTTTGTCGCTATTAATTGAGTTAAAGTTGTACTCAAAATAATTTTGTATTAATTCATTGTGTGATTATAATTGAGTTAATTTGTAATTTGAATTATTTAAGAGTTTATTACATATTTTAAAGTTATTTGTTTTAATTAATTGTTGTAATTGTCGTATAATTAATATTTTTAGATTTCTGTTATACATGTAATGATTGTATCAAATATTTTATGTCACGCTTACTGTACTGATCAGAGTGTGTATCAGACGTATCGGTGGTGCCGTCGACCTCATCGTCAACCAGTAGCTCATCGTCTGAGCGCCCGAAACAACACAAGTATTGTATTTTGAACTCACG